TATATATATATTTTTTAATTGACCCAGTCAAAGTCCAGCCTCATCTTAACTTAAATGTTGCGGTAGGACCTCACGAGATCTCTCTATATATGAATTAACTCTATGAAGCCGTGACGAGAAGCAGGTGAAGCAAGTGAAGGCGGCCAATTGTCATTTACACATTTTTAAGCGCTTCATATGACACTTGGCTGTCTGAGAATCAGTCTAGGAGCTAAATCACTAGGAAAGTTGATATTTGATGCCGTTTAATCTTCTGATCCAAACTTAACTGAAATAATCTTGCAGTTTCAGAAAATCTCAATTGTCTAAAACTCAAAAACATTAAAATCATACTTCAGTGTGTAGTTGCTGTCGGTTAAAAACTATCCACATGTTCACACATGTTCACATGATCTGTTTGATCTCCACATTTAAGCAACAATTTATTTTTATATTTTTCTTTATTTAGCTCCTTCCTTCCTCAGGGGTCGCTGCAGCAAACTAACTCACACAAAGACTTGGCAATAGTTTTTATGCTGAATGCAACCACAGACCACCGTGCTACCACAGCCCTCTGTGTGGAGCAGAGAGCTGCCATCTAGGGCACCCGGGGGAACAGATGGTGGGGGTTAAGGGCCTTGCTCAAGGGCCCAGAGTGGGGCTAATGAAGGTGGCGGCAGCTGTGTGTGCTTCACGTTTCTCACCCACATTTTGGAGCTTCTGGTCCGGGGGTCGAACCGGTGACCTTCCGATCACAGACTCACCTTCTTAACCTCTGTGCCACCACTCCCCCTTAATCAAATATTTATACTGCCTGCCACACTTTAATTTCCTTAGGTAAGTTTACTGTAACTGGTTGAGCTAATCCACCAAGAACATAAAAAGGATGTGACTAAAGATATGAAGAACCTCTGCCAAAACCGTTAAAAAATTATTCCCTGTAACAACAAATTGAAGCTTCCAGTGAAAACCTAAGTATAGACCACAAAAAGTTCAAGTAGGACTCGAGAAACATACAGGAAATAATACATTTACTCCAAGAAACCCATAAACATGTCAATTTTAAAAAAGGAAGAAAAAAAAATCTAATGATATTTTTAAAAAGCTATAAAAAATATACAGCAATAAATTAATGTGAAAATTATTTAAACATCGATTTTGGGAAGTTTCATTATGCATGTCCACATTGAGTCTAAAGCGATTCAGCTAATTACATTAAATGATTATTACATCTAACATCATACAAGTGTGTTTTGCTAAACTATCTGTCTGCCTTTAGTTCACACCAAATCAAATCACAGAGCCGAGAACAAATAGAAAAGTGAAAAAGATATGCCATAAAGTTAACTTTTATAATAAATATGGTCATAAAATTTATTTTATATTTATTTTCTTGTTGTGAAGGTTAAGACATTGTGGTATATACACAATTTAGATGAAAAAAAAAAGGAGTTGGCATGTCATTGCACTATGTCAACTCAAAATGACGTTGACTTCAGGCAGATACAATGATGTGAGACTGAAAAAGAACCAGACAACAATAAAGATATCAGGTTTGCACAGAACTGCAGTGACAGAACAATTCCTGCTTCAGTAGCAGTTTAATATTCTATATTTTCCCTAATATTTGATAGCAGCAGCATCAAATAATTTTCAAGCTAATCAATATTTTTGTATTGAAAGTTATGACCCGACACCTGTTCATAATCCTTGGCATGTTGACAACTCTACAGTAAAAGCAGAACAAGAAGCAAACGTACTGTTAAAACCTCCCCAGATCTAAAATGATGCAGTGTGCATGTGTGTACTGAAAAACAAAATGCCAAATGCCAAAATCCTTTTTAAAGAGAGTTCACACTCTTCCACATGAATTTATGCACATGAAAACACCCACCATTTCTCTGCAGGTGTTTGTGTGTCTGTGTTGCCCCCCACATCTGTTGTTTGCCCTTTTAAGCCAACCACTGATGCTTGTTTAAGGAGGAATAGGGAGGAGGCAGATGGACGCACAATACACTTCAACTAACCAATACAGAGGTTCCTGGGGACGGAGTAGAACTGTAAGAGATAGGAGGGGAACCTTCCTCCACTTGCTGCTTTAAGCCCAGAAGGCTTGTGTTTACAAATATCACACTGAGGGGAAACGGAGTAGTGAAAATCTGAAGGGGAGTGAGATTACAGAGGTCAAAGGTTAAACTTGGCTCAGTCAGAAAAGCTTCTTAACCTGACATTAGCTATGTTTACATGCGTAAAATTCTTTGACCAGATTGAAATTGAAAAACTCTTGAAAATGAGTTCTCGTGGCTCAATGAGACTACCTGTATAAATAAAGGGTAAATGGAAAAAAAAAATGTTTTCAGATTAAATAATTCAAATGTATCGTTTACATGGCTACAATCCGTTCACGACGCG